TAATGTTGTTGCTAATGATGTTTTTGAAAGTATTGATATATTTGATCCAAGAAATTGGGATGTTCTTGATTGTAACATGATTAATAATTTAGTTGAAAAGGGTCCAATTAGAGATTTATCTATCACTAAGGGTCCTAAAGATCAATCATCAAGAAGGTTTTCATCTGCATTTTACACTAGAATTTTACCAAATAGAGAAAAGTGTGATAGAGAATGGCTAGTTTATTCAAAGGAAATTGATAAAGTTTTTTGTTTTTGCTGTAAAATATTTAAAAAAGGGATTGGTAGAAATCAATTAGCGAATGAGGGATTTGGAGATTGGACACATGTTACCACTAGGCTTAGAGAACATGAATGTAGTGCTGAACATCTTTAAAATATGACTACATGGTATGATTTGCGTTTAAGATTGCAGAAAAATCAAACGATTGATAAAACTTCTCAAAAACTTTTCGAAAAAGAAAAAGAGCATTGGAGAAAGATGTTGTTGAGAATTGTTTCGGTGGTGAAATTTCTTGCTAAACATAATCTTGCATTTCGTGGTACGAATGAGAAGTTGTATCAAAACAGTAATGGAAATTTTTTGGGCTTAATTGAGATGTTGGCAGAGTTTGACCCTGTTGTTCAAGAACATGTTCAACGTATTAAAAATGATGAAATTCATTATCATTATCTAGGGCATAGGATCCAAAACGAGTTAATACTCTTGCTTGGTTCTCAAATTAAATCCGTAATTATTGAAAAAATCAAACAAGCAAAATACTTTTCTGTGATACTTGATTGCACCCCTGATATAAGTCATCAAGAACAAATGTCTTTAATATTGAGATATGTGGATGTCTCGTCAAACTCAGTTTGCATTGAGGAATCATTTTTAGGGTTTTTGAATGTTAATGATACGACTGGTCAAGGCCTTTTTGATGTTATGCAAAATGAATTGGTCTCTCTTGATCTTGAGCTTGATAACGTAAGAGGACAGAGATACGATAATGGGTCTAATATGAAAGGAAAACATCAAGGAGTGCAAAAAAAATTGTTGGATTTAAATCCTAGAGCTTTTTGCCAATGGAGAATATGAGGCCTGTTGATATCTTGAAATTTTTAAAACGTCTTGATTGCTTTCCTAATGCGGTTATTGCATATAGAGTTCTGTTGACTATTCCCATTACTGTTGCAACTGCAGAGCGAAGCTTTTCAAAATTGAAGGCGTTAAAGACTTACATGCGGTCAACAATGACACAAGAAAGACTTAATGGATTGGCTTTAGTGGCAATTGAGAGCGACATATTGGAGAAGATTGCACATGAAGACCTTATCGATGACTTTATTTCAAAGAATCTTAGAAGGATATCATTATTTAAATAAATGTAGTTTAATTTCAAAATATTGGATGTGATTTTGATGCTCTTGGTGTATTAGTCAAAGAAGAATTGCATTTTAGTATGTAGTATAATTATAAAATATGATATTACTTTTTTATTTTATTATTAGTATTTTTTGTATTAAATATTAGGGCCTCCGATTTTTCTTTTGAACAGGGCCTCTCATTTGTCAGGACCGGGCCTGCTTATATTGGTTAATAAAAATTTCATTATCACCACTACTAAATCATTTAATTAATCCAAGTTCACTCGGTGCATCACTGTTATTCACACGGTGTATCACTATTATTCACTCGGTGCATCACTGCTATTCATTTTAATCCAATCAACTCATTCAATGCATCACTCCAAATTTAACAGAACATATATAAAAAATCGTAAAATTTATGATCGTTCATATGACACCAAATTACATATATATAAAAACTATCGAAATAATTGAGCTATAAATGAATGATATATAATATCTATATTAAATTTTGAGTTTAAATGTGCATTATGGGAAACACACATTTACACAGTAGTCGTGACACATATAAATAATCCAATTTTCATTAAATATTTAAATTTATTATTTTATTTAGTAAAACAGGATTTCAAACCGCTAACACACACACACATATATATATGTGTGTGTGTGTGTGTGTGTCACTCTAAAAGTAATAAAGAAGTGAGGAAGTAATTTATAAAAAAGTAAGAGGGGTAAAAGTAATAAAAGTGAGAGTATTTTATAAAAAACTTTTCTAAAATAGAAAGAGAGACAAATAATAAAAAACGTCCCAAAAAGGAATGCGAGACAGTTAATAAAGAAGGGAGGAAGTAGCACACATGAATACATGATGTCTTTAATTATTCACTCATCTCACATTCTTGCATTCACAAATCGTCTAGATTTATGTTTTTCTATTAGATCATTACCATTATACTAAACACTTTGGCTCATTAATGCTTAATTCATCCATCCATTATATTTTCACATAGGAACCACAAATATATTAATTAAAATGGAATGTGACAATTTTTTTCAAACAACAAAAAAAGTAAAGAAGGTAATGTTTTAAGGGAGGGGAGAGTATTATTTTAAGGACGGAGAAAGTCTAGATTGGTTTGTTTGAGGATTATGGCCATAACTTAAAGACTGGGCAGAGCTTATTAGCAATTAGCATTATATTATTTGGGATTGTTAAATATTAAGGAGTATAGTCATTTTAGATTGTTTTTCAAAAATCATAACTGTTTGAGATTGTTCATCAAAAAAGTTTTTCTTTTTCATATTTTGGTAGCATAATTAGTTTCTAACTTATTGTTCATGTATTTAAACTTGAGATATTTAGTATTCATAGTTATATCATTTTCCCGTTTTTTAGTAAGTACGTACATTTATTGAAGGATGGAGTACTAACTTTTGTAGTATACTCCATGGCCTTATATATTCATTGCACATTTTAATATCTTGGCAAACTGTCCTCGCTTCAACTCCAAAATAAATTCTTCTAACGGTGCTTCCGTTGGTGCATTCAAAGCAAACTTCAATTCATACCAATCAGAAGATAAACATTATGGATTATTTACTCCCCAACTACTCTGCTCATTATGGATGTTTTTTTAGTGAAATTTGGTAGTCTAATCTGATCTTGTATGTTATGTTTAACTCTGGTCTGATCTGATTCGAATTGGACTGATCTGATTGGTCTGAACTAATCTGGTCTAGTCTAGTAATGCATAATCTCTATGTATCTTATAACTCTTCAAGTCTGGTCTCCCCTGAACCATGATCTCTATTTGTTCAAATTTTTATAAGAAGCTTCTGGCTAAAAGACATGATTGCATTAAATGTGTTTATTGAAAGTTAAGAATAATATTGAATAATCCAGAATTTAATATTTTATACCAATTTGTTTCTAAACAATCTTTCAAAACAATCTCATGGCTTAAATCATCTCTAAAAAGATTTTCAACATCAATCCTAAAATAAACTCATAAATAAGAATGACCTTATAAATTAAAAGCTGTTAAATAGGCTTTAACTTTTTAGAGAGATTTTACAAAAACATGGCATATTTAGGGATGGATCCATGAATCGGATGAATTGAGTTGGAGAGCAATTATACGAAGGTTAAACGTTAGTAAGTGAGCTAATAAAATATGAAAACAGAAAAATTACACTAAAATCTTGAAATAAAAATAAGTTATCTTGTGATTCAGCTCACTGTAGGTCTAATGTAGATCATCTGGTGTACATATTTATAAATAAAATAAATATATATATGTTTGACAAAAATATTACGAAGTAATTTTTAAGTACAATGTTGATGCCAATTACCTTGTGGTCTGATGTCATCACTGTTAATCTTCCAAAGCGGAGGTCATGAGTTCGAGTCTCAACCCAATCAAGGATGTTGGCATTAACTGAAACAGATATTATAACAGGTTTAGAGGAATATGAAAAAAAAGTGTAGTATCGATATATAAGATGTCATTCAAAATGTTTAAAATGAATATTAACTTATGAAAAGAAAATTTTTGTATATAAATGTTTTACTTTAAATTTTATCTATTTTGTTTTTTTGTTTTTTGAAACGTTATACTTCGTATTATAAATATCGTTTCCCTCCGTTTCATTGGATGATGGAGTATATGGCTCAGGGACCTCTGACCCACATACTTCCACAACTGCAATCAGGTCCACCATGTCCAAAACGGGTCAAGTCCAGCAAAATGAAGCTCTAAACAGCCCATAACACGCAAGGGGGTGCCTTCGGCCCCATGGCCGAAGGCTACCGTTGACATAATTGAACTCAGAAACGTCACAGGAGAACAAGGCTGAAAACAAGCCTTCGGCACCTACAACCCTCGGCCAATGGAGCCTTCGGCATAGTACGTATAGCCGAGGGCGTCTTCCTCGACAGAATCTCCTCTTCACATGCGCTGGATCACTGTACCAAGTACAAATGTCGCATCCAACCACTGCATTTAATGCGACCACATGCAAATGCCGGTGCCACCCCGATTGAGGTGACCTCTCGATCGTTAGATTGTTGACACGTGTACCCTCATCGCATTTATTGCTGCTATAAATAGCGGCCCATTTCCCCATTGTAAACCATACTGAATTCATATTGAATACTCACTTTCTCTCTCTTACTTATTGCTCTGACTCCCCTCCAGTTATTCCCGCAATAACCCCCGGATAGATACCCCCGGGTACACTATTCATCATTGGACTTTACCAACTTTCCCTTTTTTATTGTCTCAAAAAACTTTGTCACTTTCCTATTAAAGCAACTAATTTGTGGTTGCTCACATTCTCTATCCTATGCACAAATCTCAACCACATAGTTTTTACTATTCTTATGTCTAATATACTTTGCACTTGGCAAAGTTCACCGGACCGAGGTAGTATATTTTATTGCTCTGTATTCATATAACCCTTATGGCTGTATACTTTTCTAAAAATTGGGACACCTTTCATTGGTGGATATGTGGAATCTATTTAACATATACAAAAACTTCCTTGTAAATAATAACAATAATAACAAAGAAATTTTCTCGTAATAATAATAACAATTAATACTAGGGGGCGTAATACCCTAGGAACAATATCATGTATTCATATCCTGGCTTGCAGCCTTGTATGCCTATATAAAGGAAGAACGAAGTAAGGCGGCTCTCAATTCAATATCCAATTTTGGTAAGAAGTACTAGAGCAAATTTGGAAGAGCTGAGGTGGCGTGGCCGGAGATGGGGCTAAAAGGTAAGTTGATAGCCGCAATTGAATTCAAAGCCGGTGGAGATTTGTTTCATGAACTCTTCAGGTACAAACCACACGACGTGTCCACAGCCAGCCCAGACAAGGTCCAAGGTTGTGATTTGGTTGAGGGTCATGAGTTCGGCCACGTTGGCACCATCATTTGTTGGAAATACACCCATGGTACGTATAATTCAAGATCACACTTGCATAAAAAAAACATTGTTGGAAATGGATGGGATGCACCATCATTTGTTGGAAATGGAAGTACCGTCACATTCTGATTGGGAGCCTCAGGGATGGGTGTCATCCTTTTTTACCTGAAATTTCATTCTAAGAGATAAATCCTAATAGGAGAAGTAATCAAAATCTTATATAATGTTTCATTGTTTTATAGCTTTTCGATGTAGTTTTATTAGAGTAGATCAAACAAATTCAGACTAAACCAATTCAGACCAAGTCTGTCCAGACTAAATCTGGTGGCTTAAACAGATGAAAGCAATTCAAACATTTTTTAAATGTGAATATTACCCGAAATAGGACTAAAATAGTTTGAAAATTCTAAAATAAGACTGCCATGTTTTTATTCCCAAAGTAGGACTAATTACTGCCATGTTTAAAAAATACTGTCATGTTTGAAGTCTAGTACTGCCAAAATATGATAGTAATTAGTCCTACTTTGGGAATAAAAAACATGACAATCCTATTTTGGAAATTTAGAAACTGTTTTAGTCCTATTTCGGGAACTTTCAATTCCCTTTTTAAATTTAGTTCTATTTTAAGTTCAATTTGTGATGCGCATGCAGAAGGGAAAGAGAAGAAAGCAAAACAACTTATTCAAAAAATTGATGAAGAGAAGAAGTTGGTTGAGTATCAGATGTTAGAAGGAGACTTGATGGAACAATACAAAGCTTTCCTAATAACAATCCACATAGAGACAAAGGATGGTATTGATTTGGTGACATGGACCTTAGACTATGAAATGCCCAATGAAGATGTGGAACATCCCATTTCAATGCTCTCCTACTTCATCAACCTCACCAAGGACATCGAGACTCATCATACCCCCAAACCTACTTCAATTTGATCGGTCCATGTTTCAATCTTATAGTAACGTATGATTTTAATGAATAAAAAAACTGTCTGTTTGTAATCTCGATGGGATTCACAAACAGACTGTTTCACATCACTTTGTTAAAATCCAGCATCACAAAAAAAAAACATGTTATAAAAACGTGTTTTTTAGTGCGGATTTTGTAATAAAATCGTTCTTGTGTTTGTATTGAGCCTTTATTTTACGAAGGACGTTTGCACGTTTGTGTGTAAGTGTGTTAGTGTCTTGAATATTAAGCTTTGAATGTACGCATATCATTTTCGATGTTTTTACTTGGTGTGTTTTAATCCCAGATCAGACTTCCAGAGTTACTCCCTCCGTCCCAGAATTTACTTCCATAGTACAAATGGCACACTGATTAAGAAAGTGAGAATTGTGTGGTGGAGAGTTGTGCAGAGGAGAGAGAAATGTGTAAGAATGCGTAAGAATTGCTGTGAACCACAAATTTTTTGCCAAAACGGGAAAGCAAAGTTCTTTTTAGGACAGACGAAAAGGGAAAGTTGGAAGTAAATTATGGGATGGAGGGAGTATAAGATACACAGAAACCAAACATGTACCAGACCAGACCAGACCTAAACAGTCCAGATCAGATCATAGTATCAGACTATCAAATTTGAGTCCTAAGTAAAAACATTTAATTACATGCATGTTGTATCATGTATGGATCCCCGTAAATAAAACGGAGTAAATTAAAGTACCATCCTCTCCAGGGTTGTAAACGAATCAAATAATTTGTGCTCGATTCGCGATTCGAATTCGTATAAGATGATTCGAATTCGGAAAATTCAAATACAAATACAAATAAGAATATTAAATTTGATTTGAGTTGTTATCAAATACAAATAAGAATATCAGTGTATTCGATTCGAATATTAATCAAATATATTCGATTAATAATAATGGTAATATTAATGTCAATATTAATAATAATAGTAGTAATAACATTATAATAACTTTTAAAAGATAGTCATTCCCTCAAAGTGTAACCCACAATACATTTTTGCATACAAATTCCAAACCTATTTGTAATAAATCAGAATATAAATACAAATCAATTAGTTTGGTTCAAACGTTTTTCAAATACAATATAAATAATTATGTATTCGATTTGAAGAATAAAATTAGAATTACGTTGTTTGACTTTGATATGTACGATTATCGATCAATAATGATAGCGAGACTGATGGAGAGAGTAATACTTGCTGCGTGGACTCCATCTATACTCCATCTATTTATAATTGCGACAAACCTACTACGTACCAGTACTATACTCCATCTATTTATAATTGGGTCCTGCTTGTAGATGTTAATGTAATACATGCCATTTACAAATAACCGATTTTAGCCAGTTAGGTTATATAGAGTAAGTTTCTTTTTTCTTTTCGTTTTCTATATAAAAACACTCTCTCTCCTGCCATTTTCATGTCTTCTTCTACGAATATCAATCTCTTGGACTTCCTAGTTTCCACTTATTCTTCTCAATTCTTTCTCTAGAGGAGAGAAAGAAGGGAAATCCTATGCCCTGCTCCCACTATATCAGCAAGACTATGAAATATAAAAACATACTTGAGAGCATGTGCACGTAGAAACGCAAAGAAATATCCCAAAAATTCCTAATTGTCCTCTGCAATGTTCAACATCACTCTCTAAAGTGCTCTTGTAGGCTTGTAGCCGAACAATGAGAATTTACTTGAATCGCTAAAAATAAAAATCATGTAAAATTTGAAAATATAAAATTTCTATGCGCTCAATCATTGAATCTTAAACCCTCCACAACAAAAACGAGATCATAAATGGATGCTTCAACATGAGGTATAAAACAATTATTATTGAAATTTGAAGAGCCAAACCTTTTCTAAAACTCTCCTCCCCGTGTGGGCCGTTAAAGAAGAAATTCCACGTGATTATAATGAACACAATAACAAGACTCCATTTTTTGACGTATTCTATTGATTATTAGAAGACTAAGAATGAGAATATCTATAATAAATTAATAATACACTCCTATAAATTTAATATGCGAATTTAATGTAATATAATACTTTTGAAATATGCATTGATAGGACATTTTAAAATGAACATAACATCAATACTAAATGAGCATACATAACTTACAAAATGTTCATTGATATGAAGATCGTAAGGTTTGTTAGGTTAACATAACGAGATTTTCATTTATCATCAAATCTCCTCTATTGAGATGAAAATCACGATTTCTGTTAAATGAGCATTAATGAACTTTTAATGAGCATCATACATATTCTGTTGAATATTATTGAGTATCGTGAATTTTGCTACATATTTTTTGATTCACTTTCTTTTTCTTATTTTTTCTTTTATATAAATTTTATTGAGCATCAAAACATTTTCATTGAGCATTAAGTCTCATCTATTGAACATTGGAACTCTGTAATTGAGTATAAAAATTTCAAAACCTATTGAGCATCACAACGTCTTCATTTAACAGTCAACCGTAATAGTGTTTATCTTAAAACGGTATATCGATGTACATTCTGTGTCAATATTATACTCATTTGACTATAGAATAAAACTCATTTTTGTACTCATTTTATAATGTTATATCAATGCTCATATTTTTTAAAGTGACACTCACATATGTATAACATAAAACTCATTTCTGTAACTCACACATGTAACGTAATCATTACAAATAACTAAGAATAAATTTTTCTGAACAATAAAACTCAACCAATTTTAACACAATGCACATTGTAAAATTGGTGAATGCACATTTTAAATGTAATGATAGAAAAATATAACATTAATCGCTCAAAATATCACATAAGAATCTTTAATAGTTGAATTTTAAAATCAAAAGTAAAGGGATTCTTTAATAATGAAATTAGGTGGTGACCGTATAGATCAAAGAGAGAACTTTAGCCGACATTTAATTCCATCATCTCTAGTTATTTTACTGGTCTTGAGTTAAATCACCTATGATCTACGCGAATCCTTCGACCGATCGAAGTTCTTAGTTCTAAAATTTTGAATCATGATGATCCATCTTTTTATCTCGCGATTCAACTCCTGAAAGTCGACAACCCTAGAGCTTCATTTCTTGTCGATCGATCTGGACAATCCACCTCCTGCAACGATGATCTGAAATTTGGACGATCGAACCGCAGAACTCCTATGTTGATGCTTCTTCCGACGTATTCGACGGTGAAATCCACACCCCTTCCTCCGGTGAGCATCGATGGCAGCAGTTGTGCATGAAGTTCAAATGGATCGATAATAAATGAGCTGAAACCGATAAAAAATCACAAATATACTCGGTCAGTAGGTGTAGCATATAATTTGCACAATAATAATAACCCAACAACCACATTAATAGCAACAACCATAATTGGGACAGTATCCTACGTACGTATTCTAGCCATAATAGTGGCTAGCTACTGCTTTGTACGTCGATATAAAGGCAGCTCTGGGTTTCCATTTTTAGTATCAAATTAACATTGTGAGTAGTGATCATTGGAATTAAGATTGAGTTGGAGATGGGGTTAAAGGGTAAGTTGATAGCGGCAATAGAATTCAAGGTCGGCGGAGATTTGTTCCATGATCATTTCAGGTACACACCACACAAAGTTTCCACAGCTAGCCCGCAGAAACTGCAAGGATGTGATTTGCTTGAGGGTGAATTTGGTCACGTTGGCTCCGTTTTGTGTTGGAGGTACACCCACGGTATGTACCATCACTATTTTATCCTCGGTTCTATTTAAATAGACTAGGAGCCCATTTGGTAATAGCCCAATCGGCTATATTGGTCGATTATGCTGAAATTTATAAAATTCTGACTGATACGGTTGTATTGAATGATTTTGTTGATTTATGAAAAATAATAATTTAAAATACATTTTATTAATAAAATAAAATAAAAATTATCTGAAAAAATAGTTAAAATGGCCTTCTACTATAACTTCAGCCAATACAGCCAGAAAAATAACCTCAACCTTACTTTTTCTTATTATTACACAATTAAGTCCGTAAAACCAAAAGTTACGTGTTTGGTTAAAAAATTGACTTTATCACGGCTGAAAAGCCAAAAATCATGGCTACTAAACGGGCACTAGATCAACCTATATCAGACTAGATGATACATACATTGACAGTTGTAAATTAAACATAAACCAGATATATATTAGACCAGAACAGACCTAAACGCAACTGACTAAACTAGATCTGATCAAACTTAAACATAGCAAATCAGATCATCAGATAAGATCCATCACATCCCACCTGGCCTCCTCTCCCCATGATGATATACTTTGCATTTCAAAAGGTGAAAATGCACATTTTTTAAACTTTAAAGTACAAACATTAATATGGTTGATGTTTCACACTCGCATGTATTGTTCCATTCAAATAATTGAATTAGAGATATGATACACATGCAGAAGGAAAAGAGAAGAAACTAAAAGACGTCATTAGGAAAATCGATGAAGAGAAGAAGCTGGTTGAGTACGAGGTGTTAGAAGGGGACTTGATGGAGCTATACAAAGCACTCACAATCACAATCCACGTGGAGACGAAGGACGACATTGATTTGGCCACGTGGACTCTGGAGTATGAGATGCTGCATGAAGAAGATGTGGAACATCCCATTTCTTTCCTCTCCTTCCTCTTGGACCTCACCAAAGACATGGAGACTCACCACAAACTCAACCCTTGATCTTCCATCAACTTCATCGGCCAATATAATGTTTCAGGACATCTTTTAAAATCATTCTAATAAACAGAAAATTGTCGGTTTGTAACCAGATTTTGTCACAGGCTTGTTATAAGTCTGTACAAAACACTTTACAAATGGATACTGTAGTTTTTGTTACATTCGAGTAACGTTTGTTGTTGGAGTTCGGCTTTTGATAAGATTTAGGTCAGAAGCTAAGGGTGTGTATGGCCATGTTTATTTCGTGGTCGGGATCCGGAATAATGTATGGAGTCATAATATTGGTTTGATGCTTTTAATTTCTATCGGAATAAGGGTTGTTGTATTAAGAAAGTGGAAATGTGTGGTTGTGGTTGTGTAAGAAAAATGTGAAATGAATGTGAACCACACAAAATATCCAAAAATGTTACGTAAGTGGTAAGAATTTTTTGGGACGGTCTAAAAAAGAAAGTGGAAAGAATTTTATGGGACGAAGGGAGTACTACTATAATGTATCATGTATATGATGTAAACCGAAACTAAATCGAATAAAACGAAACTGAACCAAAACCAATGAAAACATAACCTTAAATCGATTTCCAAACTCCTAGAGTAATAGGGATGTCTACCTATATTTCTTCAACTTAATTTTATTTACATGTTTAAGTAGTTCATGAAAAAAGCGGATTTAGAAATTATTAATTAGACTAGACTGAATAGTACTTATATTAGATTTAATGAATAACGGATGGATTAAATAGGAAAACAGAGACTTCTAACTTCTAAAAATTAACCAAAAACTATGTTGCAATTGACTAGAGTAGATCATAACTCTAGTATTACTTACTACCTACGTCCGGACAATCCCTTAAAATTTTGTCAAAGATCACCGACACGGAAAATAATAAAGTAAAAATTATTCATATGCTGAATAAATTAAAATAGGCCGTATAAAAATTGAATGCAATATTATGAAATCGTTCGCAGAGTCTTGCGGCCGGACTAAAGTTTTAGTCGGAAAACGAAGGAGGAACCGAAGCTGCGCCGCCGTACTGGACTGCTACACCGTTGTCGCCTAACAGCCCCACCTCCATCTTCAATCCGTTTGTCGTCGGTCGTTGAGATAACATGTCTCCCGTGTTCTTAGTTTTCCCTGTGGTTGCGTGAAGAACTAGACCGACTACGAGTATGTACTCTACATTTTTCTTCTTCCAACCTGTGCCTATTTCTAATTGATTTCCTTTTGGGCCGCTGATGTTCTTTAAGTCTGCATAGTACTCCATTTGTCCCGTTGGAATGTTCCCGGTTTGACATACACACATATTAAGGAAATAAACTTACCAGGGGGTAAATTTTACTATTTTGACACTGTTTCGACACTGTTTGGCACTGTTTCGACACTGTTTGACACTGTTTTGCACTGTTTGAACCTGTTTTGATGTAGGATAACTTTCCATTTAGGGAAATGAGAACTTTCCAACGGGACATCCAAAAAAGGAAAGCGGGAACATTCCAACGGGACAGAGGGAGTATTTCAAAATCTGGAAAATCTGGCTGGATTATAAAATGATACGCGTAATTAGAATAATAAAAATAAACAATTCTAATAATCTGCAAAGCTAATGATATTTTGAGATAGCAATATTGAGAGATGAAATTGGATTGATTAGGTTGATAAGAAATACTTGGATAAGAATTACATAGTACTCCCTAAATAAACTTCACACTTTCCTTTTTGGGTATGTCCAAAATAAACTTCACGCTTCTTCTCTCATCCTTATTTGGCAAATTATCTACACCAAAACAGTGTCAAACAGTGTCACAACAGTGTACTCTACAGTAAAGTCAAATTTATTCTTTTAATTTGTGTGAAGTCAAAGTGTGAAGTTTATTTAGTATCGGAGGGAGTATATGGATTAAACAAAATAAATGCAAGAAATAATTGTCCTTAATGAGACTAAAATATTGTCTAAATTCCACAATAGGACTTTAAGTTTATAATTCCCTAAATAGGACTAAAGATTACATTTTTACCCTGATTTAATTAAGCCCCTGATTTAAATAAGTCCCTGCAATTCATCGTAACACTTCGACGACTCTGCAATTCATCGCAGAACATCTCTTCCTCTCATGGAAGGCTACTCCACCATCGACTGTGGCCTCGCATCGCAGTTCCGCCGTCGACGGTGGCTCTGCACTCATCGACGATCAGGTAGGTCTTCTTCTTCTTCCTCCTCCTCCTCTTCTGCTTCTTCCTCTTATTCTTCTTCTTCTTCTTCTTCTTCTTCTTCTAATCCTCTTCAATTTTCTGGTCCTCTGTTCTCTTCTTCTTTGGATCTTTTGGATTTGAGTTTTATTTGTGTCCTCTTTTTTCTTCTTCTTTAGATTTCAATTATTTATTTATTTATTTATTTATTTATTTTGATTAATTTGGAACCTCAAAATGCCATAAATTACAATCAATTAGAAAAATGTCACTTTTACGACATTACATTTATCAAGATGACAGTTCAAAGAAGAAAATGACATCTCCAAAGATTAATAATGTCATTCACATGACACTTTCGAAACAAAAATGACATTTAAAATGTCAGTTTTTTGAGTAACAATGTCAGTCTCAGTGTTGAATTTGAAATCTTAAAAATGTCAAAATCCCAAGTTTCATACTTGCAGACCTCCAATGAGAATGTCAAGAATAATAACATGATGATGGAAGTTTCGTATAAAAACTGACATTCTCAATTATGTCATTCTCAGACAAGCCATAAAAATGCCATAAAATGTCATAACAATGACATTTTCTTATGGACATATGACATTTTCATATTGTCATTTTGATATATATACTGCCACAAATGTGACAGTTTTTTCAAATAATAAATAATTTTGACATTCTCAGATTATAAAAGTGGCATTTTTCAGAATAAATAAAATTCAAATCCAAAAAAATCCCAATCAATAAATAAAATTTTAAAAGGTAGTAGATGAATAGAAAAAAACAGAAAACAGAGTGCAGGAGGGGGGAGAAGTGCACCAGGGGAAGAAGAAGAAGAAGAAAGAAGAAAGAAGAAAGAAGAAAGAAGAAGAAGAGGAGGATGAGGAGAAGGAGATTACCTGCAGTCGACGGAGGAGGTGCGTTGCAAGGCCATAGTCGGTGGCGGAGCTGCAGTTCATAGGAGAATAGTTTGGTGCGATGCGGACTGCGGACTGGAGTTTTAATATTAAGGGTAATTTTGTCAAGCTACTGCATTTTTCTATTCTTTTAGTCCCATTTAGGGAATTTACTCTAAATGCAATTACCAGACTCATTATTTGACCATTAAAATAAACCGACTATTTGGCTTAACTAATTAATGCGAATACATTATTAAACTGAGATCACTAAAATGTAATGATCGTTAATTGATATTTCTTTAATCGGATTAAAATTTAAAAGTAAACTAGTTAATCAAAAGGATTAAATTAACATTATTCGTACCGGTTAATGAGACAAAAATAACAACTTGGGGTGAGTAGATTAAAATTATAGAATTGGGTAAATTGGGTACATTAATAAAAGTAGAATAGTGGACTAATTATGATATTGTGATTAGTAGGAGACTATCTATTTAGAGACCGGAATAGAGGAGAACTAGGAGCACCGAACTAAAGGTAAGTTTTTCTACAAATCCAAAATTATTTTTCCTCGTATTATATTATTATGTGCTATGTGACTATGTTTTCAGTTTTGGAGTATGCATATGTGTTATTTGGAGAAGATATTAAATCAATAGTATTTTGAGAAATACAAATGATGTAGTTTTGGAATATTAACTAATTTTTAAATCAAATGGTGTTAGTTTTTCACGTCCCTTAAAATGTGGAGAGTGGTTAGGGCTCCTACTACTAAGGAGTACAACTTAAGTTTTGAGTGACATTTGGATCCTCGATCCCTTTTTAAGAAGTAGTAGTAGTCTCTAATCATTCAAAAGTACCTTAGAAATGGGGTACGTAGTTGATAGACTGTGTCCCGACTACTCGCGACGAGATTGGCAGAAGCTGCCTTGTTGGCAAAAGCCGCCTTGTTTAAAGCCCAATATTGCCAAATTTGAAAGAAATTACTCCTAGTTGGGGAAAAAACATGGCAGTGTTATTTTAGAATTTCAAAATTTTTTTACTCCTATTTTGGGAATTGTCCCTAAAACATATGCAACTTTTTAAAATATGTATGTTTTGTTCTCAAAATAAGATTTAAACTATATTGAATGAATAGAATCATGAAAAGTCTTTTAAATAGAACTGTATAATTAACATTTTCACTATTTTGACGAACTAACTGAAGCATGCCTTATTAAGCATTCAATATGCTTCTCGCTTCATATATAATCCATCTTTAACGGTTAGTTTGTTTGGAGGTTAACCTAGGTTTTTCCAGGTACATTTTTAGTTATTCTCATTTGTTTGTATTTTTACAATAATATTCTAGGTCATTAATAAATTTGGGTTGACCTCACATAACTCCCGAGAATAAGCACACAAATGAGCACACATAATTAAAATAATAACACACTGAATAAATTAAAATAACAAAACATGGAATTTAAAAGTGAAACATATGTGAAATTCAACTTACAACACAATACAAAATAAAAACAACAAAACATAATAACTAGAAATCAAAGTGGGGACGGTACACTTCTTCTGCAGGAGTGTGAGGAACATCCCTTGAGGAATTTTGAGAAGGAAGAGATATTTATATAGGATTTTCGACCAAAATATTAATTAAAAATAACTGAAAAATAAAATAAATTATTTCACCGTTGGATTTAAATTTCAGTCATTTGATCATTTTTTCCCGTTCAAACAGTGCCAAGATTATCACAGCCGTCGGATCTTTCAAAAGTTTTTTTTTTAAAAAAAACCGTTTCTAGTGCGTCACCGTGACGTCAGCGAGGGCAAATAATTCGGCTCCAGGCCTCTGCTCCCCGCCTGCGCACAGCAGGTATGCCCCCCACTCCCCTTTTTCTTTTCTTTTCCTTTTTCTTTTCCTTTTTCTTTTTGGCTGTCCAAAACTTCTCCAAATTTAACCCCTTCCCTCCCCAAACCCATTTTTAATACCCTCTACACTCAACCAATGTATGAAATTAGGAGTCCAAAAATGCCATTTTAACATTTTGGACTCCTAATACCTCACCACTCCATTTGATCTTATGAATTTAAAAGCTCCCAATTCCATTCTCACACTTAGCATTTTTTCATTTTGTTTTACTTTTGCATTTTTTAGCACTAAACTAATTTAAAGCTACTTTAGAGTTTGAACAATTGAATTACTTCAATATAATTACAATTTAATTTTTCACATATAATTCGTAAAGTTTAACAATTTCATTTTCACATTTAATACAAATTGATTTTTTAAATATACTCGTGTATTCACAACTTAAGTTAATTATAAATAAATATTTGATTCATTTCTTACTT